TAGTGGAGCAAGAGAGCAAAGGTGCTTCCATCATGACAGAGACGATGTTACTCCCACAAAATGTTCATATAGGCATATTATATCAACTAGGAACAGTATCATGCGGTTTTGCTGCATGTCAGTGTCAAAGACAAAGAGCAGAAGAGCGCAAGTGTCAGCACAAATTGAACTGCACGTTTTAAGTTTCTCGTTCAAATTAGTGACTAGTTTCTTATTCCAATTTTGTATCTCCCATAACTCTACTTTAGAAACTTTTCTTGAACGATCTATTCATATTCACACAAATGGATGCTCTTTTTAAGACATCTTCGAGACATACTAATTCCATATAGTCAAACGTTTGACGGAGACGAAGTAGAACAGTGTATTCATCCTATAGGTTTATGCATTACCATTTTAGATAACTATATGCAGCCATAGTTGCACTCTACAGACCACAATAAGTTTTGTAAGCAGCAACGGCACTCTACAGACCACAATAAGTTTTATACACAGCAACGTAATTGATAGCCGCCGGAGAAAACAACTGAAGCTTATTAACACAAATGGTATTTTATCACCATACTTATGCTGATGAGTTATATCTTTGAACTTCAAACAGCCACTTGCTATTCATGCTCTATCGAACATATCGATCAATTAATCAACCAACTATGGACTATTTATGACTCTTATCACAAACTAGCTAGGGTCTAAATCATCTGTATCAGTTCCTCTCTATTCAGACTCACATTCCAAGGTAAACACGTCCCAACAAATTCAGCAATTAGAGGTTTCATAGTAGTGTATAGACTATAGTTTTCCCTAGCAATCAACCTACCATGACCAGAAGCAGATTGCAAATTTGAACTTTATGGATTCGAGTTCGGAATTCTACCACAACTCATTCGATATATTGGGTTCAAAATCAATTAGTTGTACTAACTTAGTGAATATTTGAATACATATATAGTGTTCGAGACAAAGCTACTGGTCTCGGATGAACCCATAAGTTGCAACCTACATCCGGTCCTGACTGCGACTATCCTATGATGACATATATGTATCTAGTTGGGCCTTTATGTACACATACTATATGTCAAATCCCTTTCACTTCTTTATGTATTTACTTCTTTATTTCGAACCCGTTAGTGAAAATCCTGTTATGTCGATACATACTGTATACACACACACACACTTGACAACAATCTGGAAATGAAACGAACATATATGCACATATAAACGCATGAAATTAGAAAGCTCTACAAATCAAATGAGAAAAAAATCGTAAAATCAAAACAGTTAAAGAAAAATTTCAACAATGAAACATCTGCTTACGAAACAGAAGCAGTTTAATAAAAGCAGAAAAACTAATTCTCACTGCATAAAGCCACGCATTAAGCAATCGAAGTAGGATAAAAAATTGTTGAAATAAAAACCTAAAAATAAAGCCCTAATATAAAAGCTGACCTTGTTGTTTCAGGTGGAAAGAGAAAATGTAGAGAGAGAAAGTGACTTGACTTGGCGAAGAAGAAGAAGAAGAAAAAGAAAACTGATGTGTCAGTTTCCCAAAATGGGGCTTTCGTTGGATCTAAAGAACATTTAATGGGCCGGCCCAGAGTCTTTTCATGGTGTTTGGGTTTTGGACTAAAACTCGGATAAATTCAAAAGGGATTTTTAAAGGGCGGCTCGGTGCACTAAATTTTCGCTACGCGCAGGATCCGGGAAAAGGCCATACCACAAGGATCTATTGTATGCAGTCTTATCTTGCATTTCTACAAGAGGTTGTTTCCACGGCTTGAACTCGTGACCTTCAGGTCACATGACAGCAACTTTACCAGTTACACCAAGGTTCCCCTTCACAAAAAGAGTTTTTATTTATATGTAATATATTAGAAACTTATTTACCCTCACTGTTTAGATTTTAACTTAATTATAAGTTGATATACAACTTACCTTTTATATAGAAATAAGTTTTAAATGAATATCCTTGATTGTAGCATTTTAATGTGGAAATCAAATTCCACAAATCTCTCTCCTCCCTCTCTCTATTTTCACGCTCATGTCTCTTCTACTAATCTGCATTCGGAAGTTTCCGCACAAACGAGTATATACTTGAGAAACAGAGAAAGTTGTTAAGAGAGAATCAAAATTACCATCTATTATTGGATTCTCTTGGGGGGAAAAGGATATTAGAAAGAAAAGAGAATTTGATTTTTTTAATTTAAATTATTATTTATTTTGATTGGTGTTATTGCAAACGATCAGGAATATTTTTGAAATTTATATCTCGATTTTAAAGATGTTTGCTGAAGATTAGAGTTGATTTTGAATGAATTTTAAGATTGAAACTCGAAGATGTATTAAAGTTATATTATAATCGTATGTAAATTGTGTTTTGTTGTAGTTATATATTTTTTTATTTGAACGTTGTATAAGAGTTGAAAAATAGTTGTAAAATATATGAATCGTTGTATGAACTTTGTATTTAAATTATAAATACTTTATTTTTACATAAAGTTGTTATATGTATAAAAATTGTATTAAGATAGCTTCAGCTTATCTAATTTCGTTATGTCCGCATAGCGCCAGAATTTCATATATGTGCATTTTGTGTTCTTACATCACCACATTAAAGGTGAGCAGCTAATCCAATAAAAAAAGAAAATAAATAATTCAGGAATCTTGGAGACTTTAAAGAAATAAGGAAAGAGGAGAGAAAAAAAAGGAAAAGAATGTAATTCAATCCCTAATTTAAGGCATTAATAATGGATTGTGTATAAACTGTAAGCAATCCTTATTTAGGGCGAGTGATATACAAAATTAGAATAATTTTGATAATTAAGTTTCAAATATTGTACAGGAACGGAAAATTCTCATTTCAAAAATAGTCATTTTACGAATTTGTAATTGAAAAAAACCACATATTCAAATTTCAAAAATTATTGAAAAGTAGCCAATTGGAATCCATGACACTATCATGGATTTTAACAAATATGGAAATATTCTAAATGTTTTACTTGTTTAAATTCGAAATCCATGACATTATCATTTGATATTTTCGCATCGAAAGTGGCTAAACACTTGCTAATTTTTCAAAAAGAGATTTGTTATGTACTTCATATTAGTATGAAATTATCTCTCCTATCCTAGTCCTTTTTATATGAGGTTTGACACCTTATAATTTTAGATTTTAAGATTCTTAAAATAATCCAGTTATATAAAGATTGAGAGAAAAGACCCAAAATAGTTCAGTATCTTTGGATTTTAACTCAAAATAATCCTATTTTTTCGCATGGAACACTAATAGTCCACATATTTTTAATAAAATGGTGCACTTTTAGGCTCCATCAAAACTTCTATTAGTTTTTTAACGAAAAGAACCTCACATGCCAACATATGAGATTTATTTCCTTAGAAAACAAATATTACTACACTATTAATCTTGTCGAGTTACTCTTTAGTTTGAAAAAGTGTACAGTAGTAGCAGATCGAAGACGTTTCAAGTGATCCTTCAGTGGGTGTTGCATTCTTGAGTTTCGTGCTCTTCCTCTTATTTTGCTCGTTAATAATTATGAGATGCCATGTTATTGAACTAGCATTTAACTGTAAAAATCCTAATCGTTTTATCAAGAATTTCATTGATGTATATAGCCTTTAGATTTTATGTTTATTATAGGTACTGTGTGCAAAATCCTCATTATTTTTTTTTTTTATTGGGAAATTTTCTTCTTAATTATCAACTTCAAAAGATAACAAGAATCAGATAAGATGCAATTCCATACACACCACCGGAAGTTTCCTAACTTTATTTAATTTAATATCATGAGCAAAAGAAAAAGTGCACAACTTCTAACTACACACATTACCAAATTGCATTAGACAAATTGATTGAGCCTGTCTCATGCAGCAGGGTTTTGACTATTTGGAAACGAATGTAACTACACACATTACCAAATTGCATTAGACAAATTGATTGAGCCTGTCTCATGCAGCAGGGTTTTGACTATTTGGAAACGAATGTGTTTTATCAGATTCTTACTCAACAAAAAGAATAAATTCTCTCTTTTAAAAAATTAAATCTCATATGATGGCATGTGAGGTTCTTTCCTTTAAAAAACTAACAGAAGTTTGGATGGAAACTAAAAGTGTATCACTTTATTAAATAATATGGACTATTAATGCTCCATGTGAAAGAAAGAGGATTATTTTGAGTTAAAGTCCAAAGATTCTTGAGTATTTTGGGCCTTTTCTCTAAAGATTGACATGTTGTAAAACTTTTACTTTAACATTCTATTTAGGAAATTTTACCTCTTATAGCAAAGGTATACACCATATTTATTATAAATCAAAATTATTTTAAAATATTATTTTCTATAGCTACCTTTTATATTTTATAGCAAAATAAGTATTTATGATATATACTACCATTGACGCATGAAATAAGGCATGACATACGCTATTTATGTTTTTTCTCTCTTGAACAGCTGGACATACTTATATTTAAGGTGATTGCCGTTACTGTATTCATGAATACATGCGCATACGCGAATACATGTGAATATATGCCCGTACAACTGGATTGTGCTGATTTTAGGCATTTTTTACTGATGTTTTCATGAATACAGCAGCGCGAATACACTACCGTAACAACTGAATAGTAACTATAGGAAGTAATTATATATATGATAGCTATAGGAAGTTAATAGCCGCTAAACAATAGTGGTTTCCGAAAATTCCTCTTCTATTTATAACCTTAAATGACACATTGTTATACGAATTAATATGACATTGAAAACTACTAGATATTAAGGATATTTTTTAATATATTACCTCTATTTAGTCATATGTATCAGAAGTATTTCATTCTTAAATTCTATGTTTAGTCAAATACCATCATAAGGGCATAAAATAGATCCACTCATGATTGTTGATTAATTGAGGGTTATCTCAAAGGTCTGTATTAAAATACACAAAGAAAATGCACTTCACTTCTTGTAATGGCTAGTTCCAAACTCAGATAAAAGAACAGAGTTGTGATACCTTGATAGCTAAAGAATGAACAAAAATGAACTTATTGAAGTGAATAATTGCTGCCTGTAAACCTGTGTAGGTTTTGTTATATTTTTCCTTTGTCAATCTAGAAAAGAATTATTACTATTTTCATTTTGCTCTATCATAAGTCATAACTCAACTATCATCCAACACCTACCGGACACAGTATTACAGATTTCAGTGTTGACAACAGATGAGTAGGAAATACAATGGAAATAGGCTGACTTCCTACTTCTGCTCCTACCTAGGAAGGCTGTGCAACAATCTCCTTATTTACATTAGCACTATCGTCGCCTTCACAGTTTTCTTCTCGAGTTTGTACACCGTCGTTTCCATTTTCTATTTGTTGCTCTTTCTGCCTACCCTTCCCATTTTCAGCAGGTTGATCTTTCTGCTTAGCCCTTTCGCTAGATTCTGTAGACAACGATGATTCTGAGTTCCTTTTAGACTTGCTGCCACTGTCCTCTGTGAAAAAGGGAAAAGGGGGAGAAAAGAAAAGATAGCAATGAACTCACCAACACTGAAATATGCCTGGAGAAGGGTTATTTACGGGTATCATAGTGCCTAAATTTGAACTAGCTAACTCAGACAACATAACAGACACTAGGATGGCAAACGGGCACGTCAGGATGGATATAGGCAGGTTGAAAACGGGTAATGCAAAAACAAATAAATTAGCCAACCTGACCCATATTTAATACGGAAAGAAAATGGGTTAACCGCCACCGGCGGATAATATGGATATCCATATTATCCATTGCTTCTTGAATATGATTACTTTTGGGAGAATTCCTAGTCTCCCAAGCTTGAGGAACCCCCAATTTGAGACTTTACAAATGTAAAAGTTAAACCAATTAGTTATCCATTGGTTATCCATTTTCTAAGTGCATAATATAATTTTTATCCATATTTGACCCGTTTTTAAAAAGTTCATTATCTAACCCATTTTTAGTGGATAATATGTATGGATAACTATTTTTTTATCCATTTTGCCACCACTAACTGACACTGAGAAAGTTTGTATTACACAACTATAACCATGCAAAGCTATATGATGATCTTCTTACCCTTCCCGTTTTCAGCAGGTCGTTCTTTCTGCTTAGCCTTTTTGCTAGAATCTGCAGCCGTTGATGATCCTGACTTTCTTTTAGGCTTGCTTTGTCTGAACTCTGTGGAGAGGAAAGAGGTAGAAAAGAAAAAGAACAAGGGAAATGATAGCAGTGAGTTCACCAACATTGAAATATCGCTAGAGATGGACTAGTTAAGGGTATCATAGCGCCTCAATCTGAACTAGATAACTCAAACATAATTGACACTGACAAAGTTTGGATTATTTCACTACAACCATGTAAAGCAATATTCTGCTTGTTATCATATTCATTATCAGATAAATCAAATATCTACACATTAGACTTCATATTGGCCTTGGATTTTTACTTTACATCAAAGATTAAACAAAAATTTGATGATAAATGATATATATTTATGTAACGAATCTGAAGCTTGTCACGAGGAAATTTCAGTTCAGAGAAAACTTGAACTCCAAAATGATCCAAATAAGGTGGGACTACTAATCATTCTGTTTACCTTGAAGTATACCATTATATAGACGTAATATTATACCCCCGGCCCTCTCAACCACCGGAAAGATAGCTTGGACATTCCAAGTACATCATTAAAAATGATGCATTAATTTGGAGACATTCTGAATTATATTCTAGACAAGAGAGACAAAGATACTAGCAAAGTTAATTGTTTAAATTTTTTAAAATTACGATGGAAAGACTATCACTTTCAGAGTGCTTGGTAGCAATAAGCATGGCGTAGAGAGAGATAATGTACTTTGTAATTCTCCAATTTTTCAACCCCAGTATATTCTTATGCAGAAACCTACTTGGATAAATTCTTTTCCAACTTTCTGATCTTATATTAACACATACAGATATAAAATACCAACGGTTGTTTAGAATCGACTAGCAAGAAGTGCATTTCTAAAAAAATCTTTTCCTGCTCCCTTCTTTGTTTGGGATGCGAGAGGTAAAGGTTTCCAGAGAAACATAAAAGGGCATAACTCTCCAAGGTATCGCAAGGAGATTCTAATCAATTTGAACTAACACATGTGAACAAAGTTTCTTTCTGTCATTTTCTTAACATTCAAGAGTTACAACCACACAACATCTCATCTTATTAGCAAAACAGAGGACGAGCAAATTTCTGCCCAGCTGCATACACATTTATATTTTCTACAAGCTCACAAAACATATCGGCATACGATAGAATACCTGATCATGTAAATAACATGTCATTTCTTGTTAGTTTTAAACTTAGGGACAATATCTACAGGTCAAAGGAAACCAAACCATCTTTACATATGTAACCACTAAGCCCACCTCTCATAAAATTGAATTAGTAAAAACAGATTGTAGTTTAACCAGAGAGATACTACTAACGTTTCGAAAAATAGAAGCGAGCAGATATGATGGAAGCAATACTATTAAATGAGATGCAATTCTCCATGTCAATTGAGATGCCCATTCCGTCCCAAATTAGCACCACCTCATTTTCTTTCTAAGCTACACACTAGGACCTTATTGCAGTTCACTATACTGAATCAGCTGCTTTATTTTTTGACACAAGCATTATATAGAAGATTAATCGCCACAAAAAAATTCTCCAGTGCATCCTATGTAATGAGCTTTATAAACCGTCATTTATCGGTGAATCTGTTAGGTGATTTTGGCTTCTAGGACTTTCTCAAATAACTACTCCTGCTCTCTTTCATATGAGTTCTTCACTTTGGAAACTACTTTAACTCAATGTATCTAATTTTCTTCTTTCTTTTTGCATGCATAACTATTATGCTTCTACCTATACCCTTCTATGCTGAAATACCCTTCCCTAGAGGCAGACAAAAGAAACAAAATATGATGAATTTCTATTTTAAGCATACCACGGGAAGTGCTCAACGTTGCTACAGAGAGTAGTGAATCCTCGTCATCATCCTTGTCAACCAGACGATGACCCACAGGTGAAGCTCTACCACCCTGTCGACCACCTCGAGCGCGACCAGCACCGCCACGTCTATAAAGAGTCAGAGGGGGGCCATCTTCATACTCGGCAGGTGCATAATCTGGATCGAAAGATAATCTGCGACCCTGGGATGCAGCAAGTAAAGCCTCGACCGATACAGCGCTCACGGTCCGAGCCCACCCTCTAACTCGTTCATCAACAGCTTCCTGCTGCATCTCCAAGCCCATGCGATAAAGATAATGCAATGCTCTTCCCTGAAAACATAAAAGAGATAATAATAGAGGAAAGTTAATGACTTTTAAATAAAAACTAAAAAAAACAATGTTGTGATTAATTAAAGAAAGTCGCTTTTTACAATAAAACTAAAAACCAATGTAGTGATTGATTAAAGCAAGTCACTTTGCATTTACCAATGCCTCGTGCTGGCCTGCATATAACTGATAACCTCTGTCAGCACGTCGCACGGGATTCCCAATAAGCGTGCGCGTGATTCTCCTATACCAAATCATGTAAGGATCATCATAGGGGATGGTAACATGTGCAGGAACGTCATGAACAACACGATCAGCTCTCGGCCCCCACAAAGCAGTCTGTTCAGCAATGAACTGCTGAAAAACAGGATCAGCCTTGTAACGTTTATCCCTCAAAAAGTGTGCGTCCTCCCACTGACTATTATCTGGAACACCCTGTGCAAGCCCAAACTGCCGTAACACGCGTTTTGGCACGTGATCCTCCACTATATTTTGACAAATAAGTGGCACAGATGCCATCCACACGTGTCGTCCACGGGAGCACCGCTCTGGTAAATCGGCTATGATACCCTCATCGTAAGGTTGCCAGATGAACTATTAAATCAAAATGACAGTTTGTTTAAGTTATTGATGGAAAATCATAATGATGTGCAATGAAACATAGTATAAATGCAACTACTAATCCTACCTGATCAGGTGTCATAGTATCATACCTACAAAAGAAAGAAAAAAATAACGATCGCCTCACAATTAAGTAATAGAAAGATTTTCTAATTAAACTAACAAAATAATTGAAACTTTTCCTAATTATTCATGCATTTGGAAAACAATAATACAAACGGAACTAAATGTTAACATACTAATTATTAAATGAAACTATAAAACAACTAACTTAAATGAAACCAAATGATAA